CGTGAGCGAGTGGCGGGCGAGGTCTTTGTCAATGCGCGCGAGCATGAAGGTCTCGTCGACGACCTGAGTGCCGTATGTCTTGCTGGTGGGGCGGGCCGAGCAGACAGCCTCACACACTGACAGCATCGGGTAGATGTCGCGACGCCACACCACATCGGGCGGCAGTAGTCCGTCAGCTGAGGCGATGTTGGCCGATTTCTTCGGCGCTGCCCAGCCGACGGGCCGACAGGTGCCCTTGACGCCCTCTCGAATCACACGCAGACCTTCGGCAGCCGACGAGAGAGCCGCAAACACGCCAGGCCAATCCTGACTGACCAGAGGCGTCTGAACCAATCGCACAGACACACAATCATGAGGCACAGAGTGACGTCAGCTTGATGGGTTGCGCTGTGCTGTCGTGTGCTGGCGTGTGGTTGACCTGTGCTGCGATTGTCGTGTTGAAGAGCTCCTGCACCTCTGAGGCCTCACGTGATATCTGACATGTGCACACATGACCCACACCAACACAGCGGGCTGCAACATCTCTCTCTCTCCTCCTCTGTCTGTGTGTGTGTGTGACCTGTGTGATGTGTGTGTGGATGTCATCGATGCGTCGCTGAAGCTCATCGAGGCCGACGCCAAACGTCTGAGTGAGTGAAGCAAACAATCACAGACAGACAGACGGGCATGTGCGCCAGATGACAGCACAGAGCGATGCAGTGAGTGCGGCCGACCGATTCGCGCATCACAAGAGCCGTCTGCTTGCCATCGCCTTCCATCGTCACGCACCAGATGAAAGAAGTGCCGGACTGGTGAGTGACGGCGGGTGGATCAAATGAGCCTCTATCGACAAAGGCAGCCTTGACGTCACCAAAACACGGCTGCTTTCCTCAAAAAAGAGCTTCAAGCTGGGTTAGCTGACCTGCGTGAGATGCATCCACTGTACATGCAGTTCCTTGCGTCTCATGCAGTTTTATCCAAAACAGCGCGTTGGTTGCGTCTTGCTGTCTCGCACTCACTCACGTATCGACACACCCAACACAGAATCTCTCTCTCTCTCTCAGTGCACGTATTCTACACGGCCGCCTGGGCGGCCTGCCGGGGGAGGGGGCGAGGGAGGCCGCCCCTCACGCAGTGCTACTATGTGTCCACCACCACCATCAGTATCATCATCTGCCGCCGGCAATGTGGGCTGTGCGAGAGAGTGGATGGCCTGTGCGATGGGGAGGCTCTCCTGCAGCGCCCTCTCTGCGTCGGAGGCCCGCTGCTGCCACGTCTGCATGTCCGCACCCAGGCGCACCAGCAACTCGCCTTGCCTGTTTGACAAATCAGGCACACCACACGGCAATTTCTCGACCGTCCTGCCCGCAGTTAGGCTTACGTGAGCATGCTGATGCGGAGGCGCTGCGTGTACCAGACGTCAAAACTCTGAGGAGAGGCACACGCACACACACAACCAACCACTTGCCCACGCTCACCTGTCTGGGTACGGTGTGCAGTGCAGTGTGTGCATATCGACCCCACGCACCGCTCGTGTGATATTCCGTCTGCATCTCATGATTGCCTGCGACAGTGCCCTCACAGCCATCCCCCGCCGCACCATTGTGTCCTTGGCCTGCGCCTCGTGCAGGACGGCCGCGACACGAGAGGTCAGCCGGCCCGCCAGACACCCGTACCCATTGGCACGGAAGCCCCACCAGGCCCGGTGCAACACGCGGCGACACACACGACCTGCACACAACACAACACAACACATCCACTCACGGGTGCATCCAGTCAGTCAGACGGAGAGGTCGAGGCTGGCATGGTCGGCTCACCCAGCCGTTCGAGGGCCTGTCTCCTCTGCCGAGTGAGCCGAGTGTGGTCCCGCCATGCGATGAAGGTCTCGCGGGCGAGCGCCCTTTGTCGGTCCATGGCCACCCGGCCGCTCACGTTGACGCCCATGCGGGCCACCCTGTCGACGAGTCGGGCGGTGTGGGCGTGGAGGGCAGTCCTGGTATCATACACACAAGTGGATGGACGGCTGTGTGCGGTTTGTGTGCGTGTGGATGGGTACCTGGACGCTTCTTGCCACTGAGAGATGGCCTGCGGACAGAAAGGGAACAAGCGAACGAGCCATTCTGTCCAGGTCCGTCTGGAGCCCTCGGTCACCCACCTGCAGCAGTCGTGTCCTGTAGCGCTGCCGCAGCAAATTGGCCAGCCTCTCCCCGCCACGCGCCCTCCTCCCAACGGCCACGTGCTCATGCAGCACCTGCGCCTCACGCGCACGTGCTGCCGTCGTCATGCCTCCCATCCCCACTCGCAGCAGCCGACGCACACAGACATTGTCTGCACACACACACACACACACACACACAGAGAGAGAGAGAGAGAGGAACAGAGACGCATAAACACCTAAGCGTGTCACTCTCCATATCTGCGTACGCAATCGTGTCAGCTGGGCTTTCTGCGCGTGTGTGAGGGAGAGGTATCTCAGCCATGCCGACCACACGGCCCGCTTCGCCACACGAACACGGTGCTTCCCCGCCGCCCGGTGCGCCCGTCTGTGCGCCATGACGTGTGTCTTGATGTGTGCCCATGCGGGGGCCACCAGCCGGTGCCGCGAGATGGCTGTGAGGGTGTGGGCGAGCTGGCGACACGCTGACGTGGTGCGGGCCATGCGGATGAGCCTGACGGGATGGACAGAAGGGGGGAGGCCAAACAATGGATGGATGGATGGATGGATGAGTGTAGGTACCTGTTGCTGAGATGGGCTCGTTGCGCGTGTGTCCTGAGGGCGGTGAAGGCCTGCGTAGGAGGAAGAGACATATGCATTCATTCGAGCACGTCTGTGACACCATTTGCTATAACCTGTTCCATCCTCGACTGGTGCATCCGTATGAGCGTCTGCCGGCACAGCCGCGTCAGCCCAGCCCGCTGCGCCCCCACGCACCGAGCAGCCGCCACCCATCGCCGGAACCCGTCACGCACAACACGCCGATACAACACACCAACTGCACCACACACACACACACAAACACACACTCTCGCGCCACCTCTCTCTCTCTCTCTGTTTTTTTCCCACCGATTTTGCGGATTTTGTCTCTCTGCCGTCTGCCCCTGTGCACCGCCTCCACCCAGCCACCGAAGGCCCGCCTCAGCGCCGCCACTCGCCACGCCCTGGCCGCTCGCTGCCCCTCTGTGAGGCTCATCCGGCGGTCCATCGAGACTAGGGATGCATTCCTGCGCCGCGACATGTGCAGGTGGAGCGCTTGGAGGGCTGCGCGGGTGCGGGAGAGGTAGGCCGCGTGAAGGAGGGCGGAGAGACTGAGGGACAAAGAGACAGGGGCAGAGGGAGAGGGAGAGAGGGATGGTGCGAATCGTGTATGTGTGTATGTGTGTGGGAACCTTTTGGCTCTCTTCTCTCGGAGTAGCTGACGTCTGCTGAGCTGAAGGATCTGCGATAAAGACACAGACAGGAGAGGTCAGGCACCATATCATGAGCAGACAGACAACACAGCACACACAACACACAAGAGAACAGACAGATGTCTTTTGGCGTCACCTCACCTGTCTGACGGTGTCATGGTGGATGCGCTGGATGCTCCCAAACAGCAGCCGGGCACCGTCACGCTGCCGCGCCGCCCGCAGGCGGTCTGCGGACTCCGCGCTCTCCACTCTATGGGCACCAGAAGCCATTCGATGAATGGCACCGCGCAGAACCGCCCGGCACAACAAACCACCTGCGCACACAACACACCACACGACGCCCCCAAATGAATGCGTCAACGGATTGACTTCTTCTCTCACCGACCGATCCTCATCAACTGCTCCCGCTGCCTCCTCCTTATCGCGACAAACACTTGCCTCCAGGCCCGGAACACCCGGCCCTTCACCGCCCGCAGATGCGCCCTGCCCGCCTGCTGCTCCCGGGCCATCTGCCCCTCAGCTGTCGCGGCTGCTGCTCGGTGCATTGCGGCCCTCCTGCGCATGGCGTCGATGGCTGCGGTGCCTGAGCGTGCGGCGGCGCGTTTGGTGGCGTTTGTGATGGCGTGGATGAGGCGGATGGCGCTGAAGGACGTGAACAGCCTGACACGACACAGAACGGGGAATGAGATGAGAGAGTGGAGCGAAGGTGATGCCTTGTGTTGTGTTGTGTTGTGTATGTGTGTGGCTGACTTTTTTGACTTACCTGTCGAACTTCTGCAGGAGGGTGCAGCGGAACCAATGCTCGAACGCCTGATCGATGAACATATAAATTGGTACCTACCTAGCCAAGTTGTGACTGACTGACATTGTGTCCCCTCACCAGCCGCAGTGTCCTCTCCTCTCTGTTGCGCACTAGGTGTCTGACGAGCCGCATCCCCTCGGTCCGTCGCACAGCGGCCCTCTCCTGGACGCCCTCTCCCTGTGCCACCCGCAGCACCGCCAAACGCCACACGCAGAAGGCATGAGTGACGCGACGATGCAACAGCCATGTACCTGCACACACACAACACACAGTGCCTGTGCGCGTGTGGATCGGTGTCGTCGTCGTGTGGTCGGCTGCTCACCCATTCGTCTCATAGCGTCCCTCTGCCGTCCGTGTGTCGCCCTTGCGGCCATCCAGGTGCGCCAGGCTCGCCTCATGACGCCCCGCTGCGCCATCCGCAGGGCAGCGGCCGTGTTGCGGTGGTCGCGCGCCTGCCGCCTCTGCTGAGTGCGGTGTGCGTCGCGACAGGCGAGCAGCCGCCCGAGTGCATCTCTTCGATGGGTGGCCGTGTGTCTGTCGACGATGCGCGAGAGGCAGTGGTGCATCATGAGCGCGTTTGACGCTCTGGAATGGGCCTGTGCAGGGCAGGCACACAATGAGGTGTTGGGTGTTGGTTTGTAGTGTGTGTGCCTTTACTTGTGAGTTGTCTGTGGCCTCTAGATATGCCGCCTGGTACCTCTCACCCAATCGCTGAAGACCTGACACACAACACACAAGACACAGCACAGCACCACACACCAAATCAAACCAGCGCTGCGTGCATCAAGTTGAGCGCATCCTCCCCACTGCCCCTCCCCACTGCAGTCCCCACCGTCTCTGCATGCCCTAATGGTGTGTAAGATCTCCGCCACACCCCTCGCAACATCAGGTGTCGGATCTACACACACACACACACACACACATCCACACGTGACGTCATCACACCGTATCCGCCTTGACGCGCCACCCACCTGGCTGATGCTCGAGGTCCTCCAGCGGATTGAATGCCCGCCTCTCCCTCTCCCTCTCCCTCTCCGTCTCGCCTTGCCGTTGTGCTGCTCGGGGCCTCTCCATAGAGGGGGAGAGTGAGCGTGATGGCTCGGCGAGCGGCAAGATGGACACAGGTGAGGAGGGGAGGGGGGCCGACCGACATGGCGAGGAAGGGCGCGGGGGGGAGCCGCTAAGGTCTGGTCCTTCATCGTCGTCGTCTTCGCCATCATCTGGGTGGGTGAAGATGGACGCCTGCTGGGTGAGGAGGCAGTGGAGAGACCACACCTGCTGCCTGGTCGAGAACCAAACCAACAAACCAACGCACACACATTAATTCACAGATCCATCCATCCATCCATCCATCCATGAATCCATCCATCCATCCCGCGAGTTTTCATTCACCTGATGTCCTGCGTCCACTGCTGGTAGCACTGCACCACGGCGCCCAGCCGCAGCAGCTTCCCCATCCACTCGCCATTCAGCCGGATCATGGCCGACAGGTCCTCCTTCATCTGCTCATAGTCCCTCTCCTCACCCACCACCCCAACGCCGCGCCGCCTCTCTGACGGCGAGAGGCTTCGCGCTCGTGCAGCTGCTGGGCGTGATGGTCGTGGTGAAGGGCTGCCACTGCCCTCCATATGCAGATCTCGGGTGGTCGTCCGCAGCCGCATGATCTCGTGGCGCAGCGACTCGATGAGGGCCGCCTTGCTCTCCGCGGCAATGCGCTCATCTGCCACGACACATGCACACAAACACACAGACGCATAGATGACATTCATCGCCTGTGCGGGTTTGGTCGGTTGATGAGTGCACCTTGCAGAGTTTGCTTGAGCTGTTCGCAGTCGGCCCATGCGGCCTCCAGGAGGGCGTTCTGGCGCCTCCTGAGGTCCTCAACGTGCTGGGAGGTCTGCGCCCGGAGGGTCTCGTAGTCTGCCAGCACACGATCTAGCTCCGACGCCGCTACCCATTCACCGCCGCTGTCTGCGCCTCTTCCCGACGTGCCCATATCCGCACCTTCTCGCGGAGAGCGATCTTGCGAGCTCAAAGTTGAGGCGTTTCGAGACCTCTGTTCCCCCATCAGCCCCTCCCCTTTGCGCGTGTGTTACTCCTCTTCGTCTGTCAACGTATTACATCTCCGCCCCACCCCATCGATTTCATCATGAGTAGCCCGGCCCCCTCCGGCTCCCCTCTGGCGGCGGCCTTCGCGCAGGCCAGCCCCTCAGCCGGACAGCCCGTAAGCGTCCGTGACGCCCTTGGACAGGGGCAGCAGGGGCAGCAAGGTGAGTGAGAGCGAGGGGAACGGGGGAAGGGGCGCACACAGGGGGAAAGGCTGGTGGTGGGGGAAATGGGGCTGCGGGGATGTGTGTTATGTCGTCATGTCTTGTGTTTATCGCATGCAGGTGGTGAGGGCGACCTGACGTACTCTCAGCTGGTCCGCCTCGGCCGCACCACCGCACCCGCCGGCCAAGTGCAGACAGGGACTCGACGAGTGAGTGAGTGAATGCCAACGGGGGCCGACCGGGCAGCAAGGAGGGAGGGCATCGACTGCGCCTGCTGTGTGTCCTTCATTGTGTGTGTTGTCCATCCATCCATCCGTCAGGTTGAGGTGGAGGTGCCCGTCTACAGCGACGTGCACTACGAGGACGTTGTGGCCGAGCGTCAGGTGCCTGTTTACACGCAGAAGATCGTCCCCAAGCAGGAGGTGCATGAGGTGGTCAAGTACGTCCCGGAGCTCAGCCACTCGTGGATCGAGCGCAAGGTGGAGGTGCCAGTCGTGCAGCACGTCGACAGAGTCGTCGAGGTAGGCAGGCCAACCAGAACAGAAAAGACACATCACATACCCACATCGACATCGAGACAGACTTCGTGTGTGTCTTCGTATGGTGCAGGTGCCACAGGTGCAGGTGGTGAACAAGTATGTCCCCAAAGTCGAAGTCAAGACCATCGTAAGCCTCACAGCCTCACACACACAGAGAAAGAGACAGGGACGGACAAATCCCATTAATCCGTGTCTCTCCTGCCTTTCCTCCCTCTCTCTCTCTCTCTCTGTGCGTGTCTGCTGTTGGTGCAGGAGCGTGTGGTACCCAAGACGGTGGTCAAGACGGTCGAGCGCGTCCAGGAGGTCCCCGTCGTCGAGTACAAGGACAAAGTCGTCGAGGTACACCAACACGCCACACACGTCAACATGCCCTCCTCCCACCCACCACACACACATGCGTCTCCTTATGCGTGTCCACATGCAGGTGCCTCATGTGGTGGAGGTGGTGAAAGAGGTGCCCAGAGCAGTGCCTGTTGACGTAACCAACACATGCACACACACACACACACACACACACAGAGAGAGAGAGAGAGAGCAGATTTGTCCATCGTCCATATGTTTCCATCTCAGGTCAGAGTGCCGGTGATCAAGTACGTGCCCAAGGTGGAGGTTAAGACCATCGAGCGCGTGGAGAAGATGCCCGTGCCCCAGTACGTCGACGTGCCCGTCCAAGTCGTCAAGGAGGTCCCCAAATACATCGTCCAGGAGCAGGTCAGCCAGCCACTTCGTCCACCATCCGTCCATCCATCCGTCGATCCATCCATCCTTCCATGGTCATGTTTCTCTCTGTGTGTCCCTCCCTCCCTCGTGCAGTTCCGCGATGTGCCTGTGCCCGGCCCTGTGGTTCCTGTGTGGAAGGAGGTGGTGGTGGAGCGGTGGGGACGTCAACAATCACACACACAAATGCACGCACACACCCACGGGCCCTGCAATGTTCTCTCTCCCTCTTCGTCTGTCTGCGTGCGTGTGTGTGTGTGTGTGTGTGCGTGTATTGGCCGTGGGCAGCGAGGAGGTGATCGACCGTGAGGTGCCTTATATCACGTGAGGCAATAATGCTCGATGCACACACCCTCACACACACATGCACAGAGAGAAGGATTGTCGGTGCTGGTGTCATGGGTGTGCAATGTGTGTGTGCAGGTACAAGGACATTGAGAGGCCCTATGAGGTGCCCGTCTACGAATATAAGTACAACAAATACCCCGTGGTCAGTCTGTCAGCAAAGACACACACACAGACACACACATGTGCGGAGCTAACGCTCCCTCCCTCCCTGTCTCAATGTCTCATGTGAATGTGTCGGGTGTGGCGTGTGGCGCGTGTGCAGACGCTCCCCCACCGCACGACCAAGATGCTGCCCCCGGGCCCCACCAACTTCGTCGTCGTCCCGGTCATCAAATGCAACGTCACGATCGACATCCCTCCAGGTAGGTCGGCACAACAGACACACACACACGCACACACAATTTGTGTGTCTGCTGCAGGATTCCCCATCACGCACGCTCAGCTGGTGGAGCTGTTCGCCGCCCGTGGTGTGGACCTCAACCAGTTCAAGATGCTGAGCGAACCCATCCCACTGCCGCCTGGAGAGGGTCGGCCTCAGACACACACACACACACAGAGAGAGAGAGAGACGAGCCTGACCAGACACACTCAGAGACCGCGCCCACACGGCCACCTGTCTGTCCGTCCGCGTCTGTATGTGTGTGGTTCAGCTCCGACGACCATTGAGGCTCGTGTTGAGACGACTGGCCCGCAATACCCCGAGGGGGCGATCATCTATCCGGGTGTGCTGCCGCCCCCTCACATGATGCGCGACGGGCAGACGTGGTGCGGCCCGCCTGAGAAGGTCGGGGAGCTCATCGAGACCATACTGGACGGACCACCCGCCGGATGGATCCCCACACAGGAGCAGCTCGAAATCGTAGTCTATCCATGAGACACACACACACACACACGGACGGACGAAGATACATACACGGCGATACACGGCTCTGTGTATGTTTCTGTGTGTGTGTTAACGTGCCAGATGCGCGCGCACAAGCTGACGCCTGAGCAGTGCGGCTACAAGGGGCCTGCGATGACACCTCCTCCTCCCGTCATGACCGTAAGCACCGACAGACACACATGCGCGTCGCGTGGATGGGGCCGCGTCATGTCTCTCGTGTGTGCGTGCGTGTCTCATGCAGATGACGCATTCTGTTCCTGTCCTCGAGCCGTCGCCGCCCGTCCAGCATTCTGTTCCTGTCCTCGAGCCGTCGCCGCCCGTCCAGCCGCCCATCCAGCCACATGGCCGGCACATCCACCTGCCCGCCGGGGGTATGCCGTTCCCTGAAGCCATCCAGGCCGCACCCGGTAAGGCAGTCAGCAAACCTACCCACACACACGGAAACACGCACAGACAGCCGTGTCTCGCCTGTGGTCATCTGTTCTGTCTCTCTCTCTCTTGTGTGTGGTGGTGTGGTGTTGTGTTGTGTTGTGTTGTGTTGTGTGCAGGCATGATCCAGTGCTGCCGCTGAGCAGACACGCGCGATCAGAAAGAGTAATCGATAAGCCACCATTCTCTCTCTAGGGGGCCCGACTGACTGGCTGCCTTTTCTTTTTCTAGGTTGATTGGTTGATTCTTTCTGCGGCCGTCCAATGATGGGTCTCTGTTTGCGCGTGTGTCGGCCATGCCAAAGTGAGCCGACAACGCACACGCCTCCTACTCACTGGACTTGCCCCCCCCCCCTCCCTCCCTCCCTCCCTCCCTCCCTCTGTGTGTCCGTCCGTCCACCTTTTCCCGTTTGTCTGCCTGCCTTTTGCGAAGACACTTACTATCGGCCTGCCAATTGAAGTCACCACGCACAATCACTGGACTCGAGAGGGGAGGGGAGGGGAGGGGAGTGGGAGACAAAGGGATAGTATTTTGATTGTGGGCGATGAGTGTTTGGCGGTGAGGGAGGGAGGGAGGGTCGTGGACGCATTGAGGCAGCTAGGAATCAATCAGGGACCAACGCCACTCATTCGACCAACTGATCTCGGCCATCAAGGGAGTGGAAAGGCGTCGTGTCTCTCTGAGCAACGGCGAATTGTCTGACCCACTCAACATCGTGGAAAGAACGAACACACAGTCTGAAACTAAGATGGCCAGGCACGTTCAAATGAGTGCGCCGCACCGCCTGACACACCCACCGTCGCCCCCAGGGAGCATTATGAGGCACGTCATTAAGCCTATTCAGCAACACGAAAAGCGACGGCATCCGGGCATGCCCACGACGGGTTTGCGCGTTCGCGGGCTACCGATGGAAAGAAGAGCAAACAATATCTACCTTTAAGTAACCAGCCAGAGCTACGCGGAGAAGGAAGCAGAGGAGTACAGCTACAACAGTAAAATGCGACTACTTGGCGCAGGAACAGACTACTATGAGACTAGATGCGGGAAGGGTCAGCACATGTACCATCGGCGCACTGTGCAGACTGCGGGACGAAGAAGCCCACCGACTCGACCAGCACTTTGCCCCCAACGGCCTCGTCTGCCCAGGTCACGTGGCCCAGCTTCACGCGCTTGACCGACGATGGCCAGATGGTCAGCCCGGTCTTGTCGAAGATTGTGGCGCCATCCTCGCACACGAAGATGTCTCCCGTGGACAGCGCGTAGCCAAGGGCATACGTGTGGGGCTTGGAGTCGTCAATGAGGGGGAAGGAATCACCGTCCAGCGCTTTGTAGGTACTGGACTCGAAGGGTCCCATCGGGTCGCCCTCAGTGAAGCCGATGATGCCGCGGAGAGTGCCCGACTGGTCGCGATACACGGTGAATGAAAGGGTCCTTGCGAAGGTTGACCCAAGCTCGAACATGCGCACAAACTCGAAGCCCCTCGGCTTGATGTCAGTGTGGAAATTCGTGCCGACCACGGGAGTGAGCTGCATTTCCGACCATCTGACGGTGAAAACAATGGCCCCATAGCTCGTGTCTGCCATATCGGCGAAGTCGAACTGCATGAAGGCCTCGTCTGCCGCAGCGAGAGTGATCTCTGCTCTGCTGTTCGTCCGGACGATGTGGTCCAGGGTGCCGCCGAATGTCCACGTCGTGGGATCCTCGTCGAAGGTGTACTGGCCGAAGTTGCTCATTTCGTTGAATGATGGCCACTTGGTCCGGAAACACGGACATGGGAGGGGCGGAGGGGACGATGCAGGCAGCAACAGGCCCACGGACTCGAGGACGAGCTTGCCGCCGATGACCTCATCTCCCCATTGTGGATGTCCGACTCGTATGCGCCTCACCGTCGAAGGCGAAATGGCGAGCCCCGTCTTGTCGAGGACCATGTTGCCATCTTCGTAGACAAAGATGTCTCCCGTTGGCAACGAATACCCGACTACGTAAGTGTGGGGGCGGACGTCATCCTCGAGCAGAAACGTGTCGGAAGTTAGTGCATCAAAGCCATCGACGTTGTTATAGCCAATCAGGCCACGGAGAGCGCCCGACTGGTTACGGTAGACAACGAACGAGACGACCTTGGGAAAGCCCGGTGACGCTGCATTCAATTGCACAAGCTCGAAGCCCCTTTCCTTGATGTGGTTCCAGAAATTGGTGCCGGCCGCGGGGGTGAGCTGCATTTCCGACCATCTGACGGTGAGAGCGACGGCTGCATAGCTCATGTCGGCCGTGTTGGCGAAGTCGAGTTGCGTGTATGCCTCGTCTGCCGCAGCGAGAGTGATCTCGGCCCTGCCGTTCGTCTGAACAATGTTGGCGGCAGTGCCGCCGAATGTCCACATCGTGGGCTCCTCACCGAAGGTATACTGGCCGAAAATGGTCTTCTGCCCGGACAATGGCCACTTGCTGCCCAGAGACGGACAGGGGTATGGCAGTGGGGACGTTGCAGGAACCATCAGGCCAATCGACTCGAGGACGAGCTTGCCGCCGATGGACTGGTCTGCCCAGGTGGCGTGCCCTACCCGCACGCGTCGCACGGTCGTTGGCCAGATGAGGAGCCCTCTCCTTTCAAAGACCATGTTGCCATCCTCGTAGACAAAGATGCTTCCCGTTGGCAGCGCGTAGCCTATCACGTAAGTGTGAGGCTCGGAGTCATCTTTGAGCGGGAAAGTGTCGTCAAGCAGCGGCTTGTAGACATCTGATTGGAACCCAATGAGGCCACGGAGAGCGCCCGATTGGTCGCGATACACGAGCAAGCCCGCCACTCTATCGTAAGTCGATCCGGCGTCATCCATGCGCATGAGCTCGAAGGCGCTTGGTTTGAAGTCGCCATGGAAATTTGTGCCGGCCACGGGGGTCAGCTGCATCTCAGACCATTTGACGGTGAGAACCACAGCGGCATAGCTCATGTCGGCCGTGTTGGCGAAGTCGAGATCCATGTACGCCTCGTCACCCGCAACGAGGCTGATCTCGGCCCTGCCGTTCGTCCGGACGATGTTGGCCGTAGTGCCGCCGAATACCCAAGTCGTGGGCTCGTCATCAAAGGTATACTGGCCAAAGGTGGTCGTTTGGTCGGAAGTCCATATGCTGGCGAGGAAGGGACAGGGGTATGGCAGTGGGGACGTTGCAGGCAACATCAGGCCAACCGAGTCGAGGATGACCTTGCCGCCGATGGTCTCGTCTGCCCCCCACACATAACCCACTCGGAGACGTCTCACCGTCGAGGGCCAGATATTGAGTCCGGTCTTAGAGAAAACAGTGACACCGTCTTCGCATACAAAGATGTCTCCCGTCGGCAGCGCGTAGCCAATGGCATACGTGTGAGATTGGTCATTGTCCGGTAGCAGGAAACTGTCGTCAACCAGCGCCTCAAAGCCTCCGGGCTTGTTGTAACCAATCAGGCCACGAAGAGCACCCGACTGGTCGCGGTACACGACGAATGCGAGAGCCTTCGTGAAGGAAATCGATGAGGCCTCATTCCATTGCACGAGCTCGAATCCCCTCGGCTTAATGTCATTGAAGAAATTTGTGCCGGCCACGGGGGTCAGTTGCATCTTGGACCATCTGACGGTGAGGACCACGGCTGCATAGCTCATGTCGGCCGTGTTGGTGAAGTCGAGATCCATGTACGCCTGCTGTCCCGCGACGAGTCTTATATCGGCCCTCCCACTGTCGACATCGATCTTGGACGTGGCACCGCGAAGTTTCCAAGTCGTAGGGTCATCATCGAAAGAGTACTCGCCAAACATGATCGTTTGTCCGGAGGCTGGCCATTTGCTCGCTATGATCGGGCAGAACGCGCTCTCTCCAAGGTTAGGGGCACCACCCAGCTTTCCGATGCCCTTGAAGCATTTGTCCTCGCCTGACGAGTACGGTCCGGCCGTGAGCGTCGTTTCGTCCTCCGCCATGGGCACACAAATGTCATAGCGACGCAGAAGACGCTCCAGCTCGGCGGGGAACGAGGGGTTACTCGCACTTTTCTGAAGCATTGACAGTCAAGGAAAAGGGAAGTGCAAATGTAGAGAGAGCCTTCTTTGTCTCGCACCTGGGCAGGTTGAGGTTTGAACCACTTTTTGTCGTAAGACAGGTATGGAGCAGTGTTGACGTTGTTAGTATGTGGTGGCAGGTTCTGTTGTCTGTAAAGGTGCCCGATATAGGCCGTGTCGGATCCATGTGCCTCCCACTCCTCGAGCCAGGTTCCGCTTGATGCAGCCGACAGGTCTGACAGGGTGCTGTATGTGAATTCCTGTCTATCAGAATTGGGGCCGTGTTCCAGATGCAGCACCAATCCGGGAGAGCCGTCCTCATACTTGATATCGTAGTACATGTTGTAGTCGACATCGAACCACTCTCTGGGGAAAGGAGCGCCGTCTGGGCGGTCGAAATCCGTGGCTTCCGAGCAGGAGACGAAAAGGTTGTTGTGCAATGTGAATGATTTTGCTGGAGTGCTCTGCTGACGCTCGTCTTGTTTCACACACCTTCTGGCTCTGCAGCACAGAATTCATACCGAAGTCGTAATTTGAGAGCGTGTCTCAGTCCGACATGCCCTTACCGGGCAAGCATGTTGTTCAGAAAGATGACATGGCATTCCATCTCTTCACTGCAATGGTAGGTGAAGGCCTTTTCCTGTTGACACAAAGGCACGTAATTATGGATGAGTTGCAGCCATGGCTTCCTCACTTACCACAACGTTCCACACCACGTTACGAAAGTATACGCCCTGCAATCATGGACAGCCCAGGATGAGCCAGCCCCATTCCTTTTCGTGACATATGAGGCTGACCCCGGCGATCCACTCTTGATACATGCCACTTCCCGCACCTGCACATATGCATATCACAGTAAATGCACGGATTCATGTGCAAAGGCGCACCGGACGGCTTACGTACCCATCGGGCTGTCTTTCCTGCTGCCCGTCCCTGTCCAAGCAAATGTATTGTCCATGTGGTTCTGAAGGCAATCCATTGGAACCATGAGTAAAAATCAAAGGCATCAGGCGAATCGTCACTGTGTCTCAGCTGACCTCATAGAAGAGCGTGTTGAAAGGTTTTGCCCCAGAGACCGCTATTATCCCACTGTCGGCCTTGACCAGCGAAGCCATGCGCATTTCGTTCCAGGCGGCCAGATTGTCACCGTATCTGACATCATCGGCAGCAGCGTACGGGGTTCCGTCCGATCCATGTTTTACGTAGCGCATCGAAAGCGCATAGCCGCCTGCACGCAGAAGAACAAGACACGGCACAACAAGCATGAGCTTTGTCACATTGTGTGCATGTCTTGCACCATACCAACGTATTCTATCACGTTGTGCACGAACGTGATATTCGTCGCAGCCATGAATGAGACGGCTGCGGGACCGAACATCCTTTGAGTGACTGGGTTCTTGTAGTGGAAGCTGATGCGGGTGAAGTAGTTGTGGGCCACGTAGAAGTCTCGTATACTGACATCAGCAGTGGTTGGGTCTCGCCCTTGTTCCGAGCTGCATCAGCATGCAAGCACGCACATCAGTGAAAAGAAGACACAGTTGTTTTTCCGCTTGCACGCCGTGCAGCGCCAAGAGGATTGACTGACCTTCCGTCTGTTTGCAAGAAGTTTGGACTGGACCAAATAGCAAATTCGTCTATTTCGGAGAACACGTTGTTGGTGATGGTCCACAACTGTGTTTTTCGCCCTGGAACATTGCTGTCGAGAGTGCGGAAAAGGCGGATGCCATCCTCGGAAATGGCATGAAAGTGGCAGTTTGTCAGCGTCACATGCTGTGAGAGGGGGTCACCTTCCTGAAGAGAAGAAAGGTGGATATTGATAGATGAATGAATCAGTCGCAAGTGCGTACATGGCATGTGCATCCTACCTTGCCAGACTCGATGACGCCTCTCCGGAAGAAAGCGACACGAACGCCATCAATAGTGACAAACGACTTTCCCGAGAGGTCGATGCCTGTCGCCTCATCGCTTGAGTCCACGTCGCCCATTATCTCGATCTCAGACCAGTCCACTCCGTCGTTCTTCCACATGTAGAGCCTCTGGTTGGCTTCGTCAAACCAATACTCCCCAGGACTGTCCAGAAGGTTCAACTTGTCATAGACGAAGTACTGGGCGTAGGCTCGGATGCAGATGAGTGCAGGGTCGCGGCACAAGAAATTCTCGTTGATGGTGAGTTTGCCAGCCTGCCGATTGTGTGTGGCCACTTCGAAGCGCTTCGTCCAAAACCCAGACCTCCCGTCGTTGATGAAAATTTTGGCGCCCTTCAGATGCGGGAGTGTCTTCAAGTTCGCTGCCGGTTGGATGCCGGGAGGTGGGATGGAAAACTGGCCTTCGCCGTCATCAGGAAAGTGGCCAACGTCGGTAAGCTCCGTATACGACCACAAGTCTGAATGACAAAGACAAGGATGGACACGTCAAGAAACATGGATCGATGGAATATGTAGATAATCGCCCTACTCTCACTCTCACCTTCGTCGCACCACCTGTTCCGGCCAGGTGGCGCCGGGGTACAGGAAGGCACGCCAGCCCCTCCGTCGGCCATATACCTGCCGACATCAAAGGAATGATAACGCAACCCAAGCCTCCAGGCTGTGTGCCGCCCCACCAATATTGGATGTGCTTATATTCATATGGAGGGCCCGGCTCGTAGTAGTTGGGGGCGCGAGCAATATAGTAACGCTGCCGACACACACCGGGTATTGCACTGTCGACCTCGCACACTATCCGCGGCGATTTCGTCAGTTTCCAAGAGCCGTACACTCCGCTGACGTCCGCCTTGTATATGTTACCCTCATGGACGCTCCATTGCAGCGAGTCAGCTCGCAGAGAGCCGACGATTGCCGTTTTGTTGTTCTCCCCGACGACTTTTATCCCCTTCCACGGGCGGCCGTTTCCCCTCAGCTTCAGAGGGCCACGATAAGTACCTTCTGCAAGGTGGACTGTGGTTCCGGCTCGTGCCATCTCTGCAGCTCGGACCGCTGTCGCGAGAGGGCTGGCAGGTGTGGTTCCATCGTTTGCGTCGTCTCCTGTCTGTGCGGTGACGTAAAGGTCTGGCAGCTGAGGGACGAGGTACTTCAGGTGATGAAGGATGAGGCTGCCGCTCGTGTGCTGACCCCACAGGGAATAGCCGACTCGAATCACAGTGACGACGGTGGTGACAATGTTGAGATTGTTCTTCTCTATGAGGGTGACGCCATCTTCGCACAAGAAGATGCGGCCGGTCCCGTCGCTGTTGCTGATGGTTGGCGCGCCGAGGATGTATTCGTGCTCCTTGCCGTCGTCAGCCAGAGGGAATGTCTCATCTGTCAATTGGATGTAATTGTCGTTGCCGTCGGTGTAGGTGATTACTCCCTTCAAGACGCCCTGTTCGCGGAAGACGACCAGCGAGCCGACACGAGCATTGTTGGGGCCCTTTGTGGCAAAGACCAAAGACCAGGACAGCAAAAGTGATGACGCAGCCCGCTGGCGTGAATGTGCCTCAGTCAAACCTGGATTTTAATCAGCTCGAATCCGTTGGGCTTGATGTCGCCGAAGAAACTCGGGTTTGCTGGCACACTTGGCAAATTCACCTGTGACAATGTCACGTTGACGTCAAGGGCTCCGATGGCGTCAAGAGGCAGCCCTGCACACAGAGAAAGCGCACATCGTGTTGCTGTATGGGTATCTGAGGACGAGAGCGGCACTTACCTGCCTCATCAAAGTCCATGTCGAAATATGCGGCCTGCTCCTGCCCCATCGCAATCGTGGCATCCCCATTGTTGATACTGATGGATGAAGTGACGCCATTGGCGACCCACGCCAGAGAAGACTCCGACGTAACGCTCTTGAAGTTGTAGGATCCCTGCGCAAAGACGCACAGACACAGAAACACACACTGTAGCGCTTTCTCGGTGCTCCGGGGGGGACCCACCACAGAGAGGGACTTTTCGGCCAGCGGTGGCCATGCATCGAGGGCGGGGCAGGCTGGAACGCCGGCAGTGAGGCAGAAAAGGGAGATGACAAAGAGCCAGGGAACCCCCATCAGTTCAAAAGAGAGAGCTGTGGCTCAAGGGGGCCGGAAGTCAAAGACAGGCGCTCAGAACCTGGAGGGGCTCCAGCAGCAAGGCCTCTCAGGCTTCGCACGCCCTCGCTTCGTTTGCAGAAACCTCGCAGCGGTTTTGCCGTGCGAGGGGCCAGGGGGTGACAAACGTTAACACACCCCAATGAAAAGTTTAACGACAGGTCGAGAAAGAAAAGGGGAACGAAACAGGGGGG